GCAATCTATGCATCAGTGATCAATATTATAAAAGAAGGTGACAAGTGTATTTCTCTTCAGATTTTTTAATTTCTTTTGCATTCATTTGAATTTATAGTTAATATATTCACTCGTTCGTTTTCGACTCCAATTATCTTTGGGCATTATTTAAAGGTAACTATCAATATACTATTTTCATTTAATCTGCACTATTTAGATGATATTTTTTCATGTCAGAGGTCGTTGCCATGATGAATAGCATAAATCGAATTCCTGTTCTATTTTCGTTCTTGTGAGTAAGCAAGAAGATCAACAACTTACGAATAAGTCGAGAGTACAGAAGGTGCCTCCTATTCTTTGAAACTTTTTTGCACAATCCATTTTCATGATTTGAGTATTGAGTCCTACGTATTGTACACATAAGTTACTTACAAACATGCTGATCGATTCTTACGTGAAGCTTCAGTTCATATATCAGAATCGACTGCAACTTCGTCTTAGATATTCTTTGCATATATATGATGGAGTAAAATACAGAAGTTTTTTCTCTGCAATATAATTTAAATAGAAGTAGATTCAGTAGTTCAGAATTGCTAGATGCTCTAAAACGACACTCAATACGTTGTATATTTGACACAACTCGATCAGGCAATTTTTGTGATAATAATATGGCGTAGATTAAACAAAAATTTTTCATTTGCAGTCTGTAATTGTACTAAAATCTGGAACGCATAGCAGAGATTAAAGTTAGAACCACCATTCCTAATGCTATTTTGACTAAAACATGACACAGATGGAGTCAGTCCAGTTTCCTGAAGATCAGTACTAGTACTAGCCTGAATAGGTCAGACCTGACATCTGAAATGATACCACTTCTGGTCATGGTTGGTAGCGATTCTCTTTAGGACAATGTTATTTGATATGGCTAGGTTTCAAAAAAAGCTTTGTTAGTGCAGCTTCTTTGGAGCTGAAATGTGGAATTCACGTATCTTCTTTAGTTTTCAGTGACGTAGTCAATCGAGGGACCAATGAGCAATTGCCCATTGAAGTTTTACTTTTTCAGAATGGTTTATTTATTTTTGAATTAGATATTAGCTTTATTTTTATTCTTCCGTTTTTTTGTGAACCATTAAGAAAAAAAGAAGAAAAGAATTGCTTCTGGTATTTTAACCAGGGTTGCCAGGTGAAAAACTTGAAAATCAGAAATTCTTGTTTTCCAAATCAGAAAGAGTAGCTTTTTGCAAACCAATGACTATCGTGTTGACATACTTGTACAAGGGGTGTGGGTGTGTGGGTATGTAGGTGTGTGTGTGTGTGATGAGAAGATATCGGCACCCACACTCACACGCTCATCCACACCGCACACCCCACACCCGCAACCACAGCCACACCCTACAGTTATAAGCCTCAGCCGATGACTGTGATACCAAGGCTGAGCGATTCCGGAATCACTAAAAAGTCAGCGGAATTCCTTCGAAATCGTTGCGATTCCGGATCCGTACGATACCCGGAATTCCATCCAGTGATAAGCCTCAGCAGATGAGTGTGATACCAAGGCTGAGCGGTTCCGGAATCACTAGGAAGTCCGCGGAATTTCTTCCAAATTGTTGCGATTCCGGATCCGTCCGATACCCGGAATTAGATGCAGTTATAAGCCTCAGGCGATGAGAGTGTTGCCAAAACTGAGCGATTCCGGAATCGATAGGATCTGTTGTAAATGATTCCGGAATCGGATTGTGGCCTGGTTAAATTTAGTTCCGGAATCGGTGGAATTGATTCCGGAATGTTTAAAATCGCGGAATGGGATGTATTCTCAAATTTATCATATTGATGAAAATCTAGTCATTCATTAAAGTAACCAAGTTGGAAAGTTGTTTGCTATCGCGGAATAGACTATTGAAACAAGTACAATAACGATTAAATGATCTAATATCAACTGTGATTTTATTAAACATAGATCAAATACAAATTTCCGTCCGATACTCAGCCGTTCTTCAATTTCTCTTTGGACTATCCAACAACCAAAAAACCAATCCTAAATATTCATAATAAATACAATTATGGATTAGAAATAAGAAAAAATCTACTCAACCATTCTTTGCATACTAAATGAACTTCATCAGGCTGAGGCTTTTTTAAGTGCGTAATGTATTTTTATTGAATATTTAAAAAAAATTAAAATTTAACAAATGTACTCACGTTGATTTAAATATTCAAGTTGTCCATTTATGAGCTACGCTTTCACTGCAAATGCTCAGATATATATTTGCTTTAGGAATAAATATCTATGCAATAAAACAAACGAAGTCTGTCAGTTAATCACCATCTCGAATAGATTCTCAATGATTTCATTTGTATCCAATCATAAATCAATGATTGCTTAGATATTAGAAAAACTTTGTATTTATTTGATTATTACTTCATATGCTAGACAAGTCTCATGAAGTATTTTATCAATAGAAATGACAAAAAATAGATTAAATAACTTTAAATTCGACTTAATTCTCTAGAACACAATGCTGCTGTCTGCTTGTAATATGTTTCATTATAACAAACTTTTTTCTAAATTGAAAATAAAATCTTGGACTATTGCGCTATCAACTGTTACTGGAATAAAAACTAAAGAAAATCTATTTTTCTGTGTTTTTGTGGACATATCAATATGTTTCGAATATAAAAAAAATTTCATTTGGAAACATCTTATTATAAAATATTTATTTACAACTGTTATTAGAGTTATTGTATAAGTTTTTAATTGAAATTCGATAACGAAAAGTCAACTGTACCTTCTATTTACAATAAATTTATTCAATAGCAAAGAAACTTTTCCCTTATTACATGACTTATCTGAAGTACATTGAGCAAAAAAAGAATCGGGAACTCTTGCATGAACTTCTATACTTCAAGCATGCATGCCGCGCATTGAATTGATCAAAAAAAGAAAAATAGAGTAAACGAAAGCATATATATGCAAAAAATGTAAACTAAAGATAGTATTAAACGAAGAATGTCAAACGAACAAATATGATCGAAAAGACACTAATTATTAGAGGTGATTTTAATGTTATAATGTAATTGTCAGGGTGTGGGTGAACTCTGGCTGTGAAGCTTGATTCGATGTTGATGATATCTCCAATGAAAGAATGATTGATTTGTTTTTAATATTTATTTTAGTTAATGGATTGCATAAAGGGAGAAGCTGTAGTCATTGTCGATATGGTATTTATTTGATTAAATTCTTTTTATCTTCATTTCTCTTGTTAATGTTGCTACCTATAGTTAATTTGGTGATCATTTCGAAGGTAGGGTGTGTGATTCTTTTTAAAAACTGCCGACACTCGCATAGTCTTGGTTTAATATTCTATTTTTTTGCATTTGTATCTCATTTATTTTGCTTTATTATTGTGGATTCTTAATACAAAAGTATCTGATGAAAAATAAAATGATAAAGTAAGTATGATGTATTTATTTATTTTGTGTAAACGAATTTTTTTTTCTTTCTATATGTCACTATGGCAAACATATCTTTTTGCTGTAGTCACATGTTAAAACAAATTTTGTATTGGTTTCTTTTTTTTGTAGTGAAAATTCTATTCAGATTGGCATATATATTCAGAAGTAAATGATCATGAATAGTTTCGTACATATCTAACCAAAACCTACCATAATTCTCATGGAAAAAATGTTTTTTGAGCACCACAAAATAAGACAATTGAGCAACAAGGCTATTTTTATACGAAATGAGAACAAATATAGTAATTTAGAAGAAAAAAAAACATTTATAATGAGTACAATAAGAAAAAATTGATAAATATGAGTATAATAAAGAAGGCGCAGATGTGATTAAAGAGGAGACCTACACGTACACCGGTTGTGTATTACGCGTCTGTTTCGAGTCTATTAATATTAATTTGCAACGTTGACAACATAAAAAAGTTGTTTTAAGTTTTTTTGTGTATCTTTTTGCTATACTGTTTGCTTGTCCAAACAGCATTTGCTTGATGTTGAGGATAGAGAATAATAAATGAAAACAAGATATTTTTGTTTGCTTTTAATTTCGATGAAAAAAAATCCCCCTTTTTCTTCAAACATTTCATTTGACGTTTTCTCTTGCATTGTAACAATGCCATAAAAAGTAGTCTTCCATTTACTCTATAGAAATTGAAATGTATAATTAAGCAGCGCTCTTTATGTAAAGAAAGTAACAGACAAATGTACTTAATGGATTCTATTTTTTACTCATACACTCTTCCTACCGTTAGATGTTGAATGAATATATCGAACAAGATGCCACGTGAAAAATCCAATCTACAAGGCAAATCCGCCGAACGTCCATCGTCTCGTGAAGTACAAACAGCAACACGAACAAATGTATCAAATTCCTTTAATCCGCCTCCTTTCTCACAATCGAAATCTCCATTACCTGCAATTAATAGTCAAAACAAAGTTACTTCGAATTCCATGGAGATGTCAATCCATGACGAAACTGATCTTGTCTTACCGACAAAAGTTTTTCAAGCAACAAAGAAATCGGTTAGAGATTTATCACAAGGTCTCTGTTCATATTTATGGTTTCGACGAATCAAAGAAATTTTTCTCGTCATGGGAAAACAAAACGATGCATTTACACGATTTGATACGGAACTCGCACGTAACGATATGATTCAAACATGTGAACAATACTTAGAAAATGAACGTCCAAAAGTCGGTGGATCGAAGATGGTCTGTAGAAAAATATTCTATCATCTCAAGATCAGTTTTTCTTTGATAGAGTGATGCAGAACAAAAGAATTTAGATCGATGGAAAAATAAACGATTGTATGGCGAAACATTTCGAATGTCGTACTTTCGAAAAGAAAACGAATCTGAAGAGAAATCAGTGAAGGTAAGTTTGATCTTGATCAACATCACATTGATAAAGATTGTCTCGATAGACATTGGTACCAGCAGAACTTTCCACCGGTGAAATTCCGAATTTCGACAATGCCATTTGGTGGTATTCCTGTAATGAAGCTCCCATTTTCGATCAAATGAATAATATTTTACGTTTGGAAAACTTTGAATTATTGATGTGTCATCGTTATTATATCAGTGATCTCTGTCAAATGATCGAACGATCTTATGCACAGGATAAATTTACTCAAAAACAAAGGGTCTATCGAGCTGATAAATTAAGTGCCGTTGATTTTAAAACCATTCAAGAATCAATTACACAAAAAGATGCTCGAATTGCTATCAATGGATTTATATCCACATCGCGAAACGAAAAGATCAGTCTCGAGTATGCGGCGAATAAACTGAAGAAACGTAATGAAGACGTAGTGATCATGTATGAAATCACCATTGATCCGTCAATACCTTGTTCAGCATATGCTGATATCCAATCGATATCATTTCATCCGAGAGAAGAAGAAATTCTTTTTAATATGGGTTCCACATTTCAAATCGATAGTATTGAAGATGATCAAGCGAATCCAGAAATCAAACGAATCAAATTAACTGCACGAGATTTTAATTTAACTTTACTCGATGAAATGAAAGCCAAAGTGAAACAATCGCCTCAAGCAACATTGAGTATTTTACTTGTTCGCTATTTAATTGAATTAGGCGAAGATCGAGTGAATAAACGGTATTTAAATCAATTAATCGATAGTAAACAATTAGAAAATGATCCTAATCTTGTCGCAGTTTACAATTGTCTGGGAACAATTCATTTACGCCAAGCGCTGTATGGCGAAGCATTGGCATATTATCGCAAAGCACTCAATGCTCAAGCACGTTTAGAATTTTCCAATAACAATGCCTTAGCCGAAATCTTCAATAACATTGGTCAATCTCATTTAGGTTTGAATCAATTAGATGAAGCAAAACAAAATCTGGAAGAAGGCATTCGAATACAAAAACGTGAACCGAAACACGCTCAGCAACATCTCGCGTCACTCTACTGCAATTTAGGACAAGTCGCCTATGCTCAACGAGATTGGAATGAAGCAGAAACGAACTTTCAACTAGCTCATGATTTATACAAGCGTAATAATAAAATTTCTCATGATGCCTTAGAAAAGCGTTTATTATTAGCCGATCTTTGCATTGCTTTTGGACATTTGAAAAGCGTTCAGAATCCCAAAGATTCAAGTGAAGCGCACGAGAAATTCAAAGAAGCGCTGGAAAATTATCAATGTATTTTACCATCATCACATCCAAAAGTCGCTGAAGCTCATATTGAAATTATTTGTGAATATACTAGAAATAAAAATTTTCAAGCGGTGATCGATTATCAGACTAATGATCCTCAATCATTACTAAACGATTATGAAATGAAAGCAACAACCAGTCAAATGGACTTAGCTCATCTCTATGCACACATTGGTGCTTGTTATGCTCATCGGAAACAGTTTAATGAAGCCATGAACATTTGGAAGAAAAGTGTGGAACACGAACAAAAAGCTTTTCTCGATGAACTTCTTTCTTCTGCTCGTGTCTCAAAAGTTCAGTTTCAACGTCATTTAGTAGAAAGTGCTTATCGTGCTGCATTTGAATATTATTCATCCAACAAAGACAATTCTTCGAAGGAATTTCTCGCCATTCTTCTAAGTAAAATGTGCGCCTACGAACAAGTGATCGAAACATTGCGAGGAGAAAGTTCTTTTCTACTTGGACATGTTTGTATTTCTCAAGGAAAAATCAAAGGTAGTATGGTCGTTTACAAACGATTATTAAACGAGAAAAACGCCGATTTTACATTGATGATTGGATTACTTTTACGAATGTTAACACACAAGAAAATCACTTCCAATGATGAACCAATTGAAGAACTAAAACGTATCGATAACTTTTTGGCGGCAAAACGGACTGATAATGAAGGCATGCGTTTACGAATGATTATCAATGATTATCTGACAGAAAATTATTTAACAATGAAAAATTGCGACTTAGCACGTCGACATTCTCAACAATCATTTGCACTAAAACAGCGTCTTTACTCGTCCCATCACCCAAGTATGGCACGAAATTATCAATCAATTGCCGCTTGTTATTTCAAAGAAAATGATTTCAAAACTGCCGCTCAATACTATGAAAAAGCCATTGAAATTCAACTAGAAAATCTACCCAATGGTCATGAAGATATTCGTTCAAATTATTTCTTAATGGCCGATTGTTATTGTCGAATGGATAAGAGGGAATTAGCTAGTGAATTTTATGATTTAGCTCAAGCACCGAATGATACTGAAATGGAAGAAGGAACCGAAGTTGATCTTGATGTTAAAGCCGTTCTTCGAATGAATTCGAATTTATCCGAAGTTTTTGCTAAACAGGAAGATTTTACATCAGCCATCAATCATCAACAGATGAAAATCGATGTATTAAAAGAGATTCTACCAACATTTGTTCTTAATCTAATTGAAGTTGATCGAGTCAATGCAATGACATTTGAGCAGTTACAGAAAATCTTTGAAACTCGTCTTGGTTTAGCTAATGGAAATATCTTCGCACAAGTTTTACGAAATCTCGTCTTTATTCATCGATGCTTAGCTCGAGCTCTGCTACCCTCCGATGGACGTACGGAGGATTCGAAAAATGCTACTGATCTCTTTGAAAATGCCATTGAAATTCAATTGAAATTAACTCTATTCGAAAACGAACGGGAACACAATCTCGCTGATTCGTATAAAGAATTAAGTGATGCTTATGAGAAACTTTATTCCAGTATGAAAGACACGATTCAAGAATGTTTAGTCAATGCTCTTGAAGAAACAACGGATGTTGATCAACAACGATCGTTAGAATTTCGTCTGGGAAATCTTTGTTTTGAAGAAGATGATTACAGTGAAGCTGATCGATATTGGAAAAATGCTTTGAAAAAAGTCGAAGACAATCCAATAGCGAAGGCTATCATCGAGAAATTAATTGAAAAGAATCAAGTGAATCTATTGGAAGAAAACAGCGAAGGAGAAGATGAAGAGCAAGATACTCAGGATGAAGAAGAGACATTATCTCGTGTTCAATCCGCTCAATCTCAACGTCGTACATCAGTAAAATCGATCAATGAGAAAGAGAAACCAGAAGAACTTGTTCGAGCTTATTTATATCTAAACGATGATACGGCTGTAATGAAACATTTACAACGAAACGTTTCGAAATTGGATGAGTTACTCGAACCAACATGGTCGACTGAGATTAACCTGTCAAGTGAACGATTACCGATGATCAAAGTGTTTTTCTTCTTACTCACGGAATGGATCAATACTAATGGTTCCAACTCATCTCGATCGAAAGAAGATCCTAAGCAACTGAATTGGATCAATCGATTACAATCAGATATTCAAATATTTAAAATCGCTTTGCGGATGCTGGATTCATTCGGTCAGCTAGCAAAAGCTGTCATCGGCACATATCAAACATCCAAAATCTTATACAACATTCCCGAATATTTCGATCAACTTTTCGAACTTCTTCATAGTGATCTCGACAATCTTCAATGGGATGCATTAGCTAGTCAAATCTCATCGAATGATCTAATAAAATTCTTCATGGCAGTCGCAGAATATTATTTTTTCACCGAAGATTTATCTCATGCATTGGATATCTATCGAGTTCTTCACGATTATGCCCAAGGTTCCGAAATTCTCAAAGGTGCCATTACTTATGGTATATCGGCAATATTAGACACGGACATCATTGCTCAAGAAGAACATCGACCCTATATCATGTCTATTGATCTTCAATCATCCAACCTATCGATATTTGATCGACTTCTTCTTTGTCGATTGACTGTTGCTTATATGATCGAAATCGAAGATGAACAAGGAACAGCGGAATTCAAACAAAAACTTTATCAATTACAAAAACAATCTTGGGAAAATCTTGACTTTTCTACGATGAATTCAATCGGTCAAATTTTTAGTCAATTCGAACAGAACACTCTCGCTGGTTTATATTGGGAAGAACTACGAACACTTTACAATGAAATCCTACCCATTTCCATTCTCAATCGTCTCTATGATTCTGAATCGACATTTGAACAACTTTATCATGCAGTTGAAGAGATTAACAATGATCTGTTCGATAATGTTCGTTCTTTAGCTGGAAGCTATGAAACGAAATCAATCTATGAAGAAAAAGATCAATGTCTTTCCGATGCCAAATCATCATTGGAACAAGCTATTGTGATTTATAAGAAATTTGATACTGTCAAAGCTCAACAATTACAAATGAAAGTCAATCAATTCAATGATCAGAACTCAGAATTTCACTGACGACTCAAATTGACCGACTCTTAAACCTTCGTGATCATGAAATTTATCATCATGATCACCTTGAGAACTGCTATCTTGATCGTCACGAATGACAATATCATCACAATAAAGATGTTGAAGATATTTTAGATTCGACCTGGCGTGATACAATAGCTATACCGAGTGCATTGTTATTTTCTATTCGATCTAATGCTTGCTATAATATCTTGAGAGTGAGGGTGAGTTTCATAAATAAAAATTCAACAAAAATTCAATTTTTTGAAGAATTTTTTCGAGAGCTACCATGACGCATTTCCATCTTGCTCAAAGATCTCATCAGGTGGCTTTTAATACCTCTGCACAGAATCATTTGTAATTGCTTATTCAAATTGACTTGTTGTTCAATATTGGTTAACTGAAATAAGTAAAACAGATTTTTTTTTGTTTGATACAATTAATATTTGCAAGCTTTCTTGTCTCTTTTATAATACCTGTGGATAATATTCTCTACTAGTAAGAATAAATAAATGATTGTCTATAATTCTTCAAAACGAGCACTGAAACGTGATAACGTTAACGGCAACCCAAAAATATAAAAGATATACCGTATTATCTTTGCAAATTCATTTTGACATTCTTTTTCGAGTTCTCTCAGAAAAAAGCCACCTTTGGTGAGATTTATTAATTTTATGATGAAATTTAAGGACATTATGGAGGTTTTTTTATCTAGCCATAGTGATGGACATGGCTATCATACATCATTAAATATAATAAGTAAATTCATAACACCCGAATGTGGAAAATATTTTCTCTTTATTACTGTCTACTATGTTCTTTATTACCATGTTCATATATATATATATAATTCATTGTATTCTTTGGTTGTTTGGTTCAAGTAATACACCAGATTTATACAAACCATAACTTTTTAATCGTATCATAAAATGTGCGAAAATATTCATTATATGAATCTTATAAATTTGATGATTATTCTGATGTTGTAAATGAACGTCTTAATTCATATTACACAAATTATTTGAATTTCTGATAATGATGTTAAATCGAAATCATGACAAGAAAATAAACAATGGAATAAGCTCTAAATTATATTTTTTTTTAAATACAGAGCGAGAACTAGTCTGATTTGCTAATTGATATAAAATATTTCTTATATTTTTGACTATTTTAACAGAATACAAGAAGTCATTGGAATATATTGAAATTATTGATATAATCTTTTATCTATATGAAATAGGATAGTTTCCATGTATTATATTTTAAATAAATCAAAGTAAGAGAAACATTAGATTTTTTTTGTTCAATGAAATGAATAATTTAGCAGTGAATTTATCTTTCCTTTAACCAAGACTTCTCTGTAAGAACGTTTAAAATTATTTCGATAATCCTCTTTTAACACTTACGTTGAATGTTTAACATTAGCAAAAACATAAGATCTACTTCTTAATCATTAAAACACATGAACTCACATTAACTGACAATGGGAATGTATTATTACTTTGAACTGACGTTAATATAATATCATATCCCAAGCAAACAAAAAAAAGCATACGATGGGTGCGACGAGCGGTCGAAAATTTGATACATATATATTTTGTTCGTTCTGTTTCAATTTCGATCCCCTCGACACCCATCGAATTTCGAGGACTCGGACACTGTGTCCTATTGACGACTCATATTCGACACCTCGGCACTCAGGGTGGGGTGGGTGTGGGGGTGGGTGTGGGTGTGGGTGTGGGTGTGTGTATGGGTGTACATGTGTGGGCATGAGTTAAGGCTAAATCATCTACACCCCACACCCACACTCACAGCTACACTCGCACTCACACCCACACCCGTTGGAATCTACCTGGGTGGAGATCGATTTTTGAGTGGAGGAGGTCTTAAAAGGTTGAGCACCGCTTCTAAAATCTTTGTTGACTCTTGAGAATATTTTTGTTTAGAGAAGACTCATACTAAAATGTATACACACAGTTGTATTCATTAGTATCCTTCTAATGCGAACATTATAGAAATCTATTTTGCGCATTTGCTTAACTTTCTCCCTCTCGGTCGTTAACTTCAAACTGCTAGTAGTCGTAAGGGGTCTGTGATTTTTCTTATCGAATACTGTTTCAAAGAAACCTTGAGAAAAATTTACACCTGCGCGATTCAACTCTTATATAAATGTGGCCATTTATTTATCACTTTTGAAGAAAGACAAAACAATGTTGATGGTTTTTTTCGTACTGCTGCTTGTTTCATCGTTGACGACGGTGCAAATGAGCGATCCGATTCCGTCTCTATTTGGTGCAATTTTTCTGAATCCACCAGCTGATAGTTGTGTTCCTCGAACCAATGATTATTGTCATGTGGTGAATGCCATACATGAAATGCTTTCAACGAAAAAGAATGAAACAAGTTTGGACCAATTACTAGACATTGTTCCCGATGACGAAACACTTCATTGGTTATTATTACTCGGTCTTCAACACCTTTACTTATTCAATCACGATCATCCTGAGTTGATGCCGTATGATTTTGATCTTGTTTTTCAAGAGTTGTTGCGTGTCGGCAATCTATTGAACGAGAAAGGCTCCTCTGCTGTGTACTGGAGGGATCTGAAACCACTTGTTCGAAGATTCCTCCAAGCCGTTCGCCCAGCACAACATCGCTAGTATAAATATTCTATGTTTTTCATTTGCTTGAAAAATAAACGAACCGATAAGGAAAACAAGAGTCTCTGTTTGATAAAAATTGGTTGTCTTCCTATCGTACATTAATGTATCAATACGCAGAGTGTGTATATGCACGAAATCTTCAATCTATCTCCAAATTACGGATTTGCATGACAAGCATTTGATAGAAAGCAAAATGTCGAAAAAATCTTACTTTGAGATTCTAGGCCGGAGTGCCGGTGTGGATGGGTGTTGAAAGTAAAGGGAAATATATCTAACCACATCCACCCACACCCACACCTTCCAGCAGTTGCAAATATATTTCGAGATTGGTATCAAGAAGAACTTGATTGATAGAATTCAGTTATTAATAATTCAAAAGCAAAAGATGGAATAATTTTACATGCTTATGAAGAATCATTAGAACGTGCTAAAACTATTGGACTTTTGCCTGAAGAATGAAAAGAAATAATTCATACACCACTTGAAACTGCGTATCGAGAAAGAATGAAAGAAATGTATGAAGCTGTTCAACATCGGTTAGATTATCAAGTTGCTTCACAAAATGCGCGAAAATATTTAGAAAGAACCAAATATTATTTATTGGATAACAAGTGAAGTCAAGAAAATCTATAACACCCAAACAAGAACAAGATACTTTACAAGTTTGTCTTAATCGACTTAGACAAATTGCTTCACAAAAACGATGAGTCAATTATTCACCTTTTCAATAACAATTAAAGACATTCATATTATATTAGAGATTTTTTTCTTTAATCCCCCTTTTCAGAAAAACCAATTCGATAGACATTGATTATATGCTACGATCTTTCCTTTTTATTGTTCAAACATCATGTAAAAACAAAGATAAAAAAACAATATGTTAAAGACTTCATATCAACGGATATGCCAGTTTTCTTTTATACCACTGCATAAACAAAGATTCAATGGAAAGATTATTCAAACAAATTATCTATTTTATATTTTCATTTTATTTATTCGCCTTTATCATTCACCTGAATGAGAATCATGTGAACCTGTATCAATTTAAAATGATTAAATAAAAGAATATATTCGACAATTTTTCGGAAGGTGCACAAAATAAATTTCGATAGGATAAAATATTATCGATCATGGCTCAATTTAATCATCACTATCAATATTGATTTCAATTGATTCAATTCAGGGTATAGATGTGGATGTGGGGTGGATGGCGTCGATGTGGGTGTGGATGTGGGTGTGGATGTGGGTGTGCGGGTGTCGGTGTAGATGCAGACGTAGGTAAGGGCGTCGGATTGCACTATTTCTCTTTAGCCACACCCGCACCCATTCTTCACCCACACCCACACCCACACCCTGATGTGCACTGTTTTCTAAGAATGTCGAACGATTCGAAAAGATTTTCCCAGTGAAATATTGACATACACAGACATTTTGTCATATTAGCAGGAAAATAGCTAAAATTGATCTTACTAAATTTATGTGCTGTTTTCAATCAAATATATGAGTAATTATCGATCTTTTAACATGAACTTATAGTCTAACTCATGATCCTTTATTGCTCAAAAGATGAGCTCATTTGCTTGGGTAATGAAGACTCTAGAGACTTGACAAGTTCGTGATAATGATCGATGCATCATTTCCATATAGTAAAATATTTGCTTCTGAAACTTTCAGAAAGCAGTGGCCACCTATGTGGAAATATCTCTTAAAAATTTCAGATCGATTCATCAAACTATTGCTGTGTTATTGACCTCTCAATGGCATCCTATTGTTTTTACGTATATCGATGTTTTCAACAAAAATGGTCTAGCTCATCGAAAACTCGGTAGACTTCGATAAAATTTATTTTGAAAATAGCCATAATGTAGGGCTATAAAATGAGCCATTGATCGACTCAAAAGCTCTTTCTATTATTGAGTTACGAAATTCGCAACGGATTTGGACGGCATCTATTATAACTTCGTTCTAGCATTGAGCAATCTCGACACTGATGGTACTGCCGATCTACATTCTCTATGGACTACTTTATAGACCAATTTTCAGACGTTTAGCTCTTATAGGAAGTAAGATTCGAGGGGAGATACTTTTAGCCAGTAGTGTAGCTAAGCATTTTGGTTAGAGTGATAATTTGTTTCAGTCATATTTCAAAATAGCTAACAACTAGGCAATACAAATAAATTAATATAATTGAAAAAGTAGAAAAGAAAATTCATTCCGTTTCCATAACCTTAGTCAATAATAATCAACGATCCCCTCTATAGTCGAGGAAAATCGTCCAATTAGAGTATAATAACGCTTCGCGAAGCGAAAGAGAGAAAGAAACGTATGATGAAATAGTTCAGTCAAAACTATTTTGAAGCATTTTAAAACAACGTTCCGTATCAAAACTTTAGGAAAAAGTCTTCTCAATAGATATCATGCTGAACTATCTTTTCTGTATCAAATCATTTGTAGTTCTGTGGTTTGACTGAAAAAAAAATGCGGAACAACATTGCATAACTGACTGAATCTTATATGGTTAAGCATGATCGAGCAAAGAGGGTGTGGGTGTGGGTGTGGGTGCGGGTGTGGGTGCGGGTGTGGGTGCGGGTGTGGGTGTAAAGAGAATACCCACAGCTATATCCACACCCACGCCCCACACCCCCACACCCCACACCCCACACCCCACACCCCACACCCAATTCAATAAACTGTTTTAAAAGTGAGTTTACATATAAATATTGATCGATCAATAAAAATACGTTATTCAGAAGAGCAACTAGCATGTTTCATTCAATATATTCTCTCTCCGCATATAACAGCGGATATGCTGTTTGGCAAAAAGCCTAAAATTATCATCAAATGATACAGTTATTCCCAACACCATTTGTTATTTACTACCAACTTGATTTATTTAAGCTTATAAAGATTATTGTAAAGAGTATAATGCAGAATTTAAACTACTAAGTGATACGTGTCTGTTTGAAATATTACATTGTTGTACCGTTTCTAACCGAAAATCCGCACAACGTTTTGGTTATTTCGATTGTGTTGATTCCGATGCATTTAACATTCTTAAACATTTGTGTAATGCGTTGAGAGCATATGATAATTTCATATAACCTTCTAATAATAACACATCTTTTTAAATTAAAATGTTTGAATTTATTTATAGATGTTATGATTTCAAAAGTTGTTCAATTAAATAAAGCATTACATGAATCTCGTAACTGTTTAAAAAACAATTACAAGTTACATGTTGAATTTAACAATGAAGTTGTGGATCATTGCTTAAAAGGGTCGCGTTTACTTTGTCGACAAATTATTTTGCCGACAAAATTTGATTATATCTTAGCCTACTAAATTCACGCGATGTTGTAGCAATAACATTACTAATGATTCGTGTAGTTTGATCGTTGCTAATTTGAGTCAGCTCTTTCATTTGAATGCAGGCTTTCAAAACTTCAGGTTTACTTCGAGTTCGTTAATTTGAAATTATTATTTTTTTCTTTAATAATCAAATATTTTTAGATAAAACTTATGCAACAACAATTGATTTTATTCCATAATGCTATTGGAAATTATTTTTCATCAACACAACAACAACTTAATATATGAAAAAACAAAAAAAAACTCCAGTGATTTGTTATTGTGTTGATTTAAATATTTTTTATTAGTTTGTGTTATATTTCAGTAGTGTTGTATTGTTAACTCGGTTTTTTTAATTTCATTTCTTTAACAAAAATACTAATGTTAGATTACAAAATTAACTTTTTATTTATGAAAAGATATTTAGATGAATTTTTTTTTTGTTGAGTTTTGCAATACAGTTAGAAATGGTTAAGAAAGTTTGATTTTTTTTACGAATGTGGAAGAAACAAAACAAGGATTAAAAGGTAGAAATGACTAATCAATGGTTTAATTTGATTATTCTATTGTCAGAAAAGTGAATAATGATTCATTTTAGTTCAGCGAGTACAGAAGAAACCACACGTATTACAAGTTTGGTCTGAGGAGGGAGTATCTCAAAGTATTTCATATTTTGCGCTTAAGTAAGATCTGATGAGAATATACGACAATTAAAATTAGACTTCCCTTAGGAGAAATTTCATCATTAAATAAGTCTCAAAGTTCTTATCATATCCAAAAAGTTTCAGTCAAAATGAATATTCAATGTTCAAGAAAAGTCGATTTTCTGACTTTGTTTTTGAGAAATTTTTGAATATCTCGAAAAGAATGTTTTCGTCTCGGTTGAAACTTTTACATTATTTAGTAATGACATTTCATGATGAAACTCCTCTTTGATGATGAAGATCTGTAATTTCGTGTACTGTCATCAGATCTTATTTAAACATAAAATGTGAACTTGATCGACATTTGAAGATGGTCCCTTGTTAGCTATTTTCGATTATCACACCACTAATCGTATAGTTTTTGCCTTTTAGTCGATTGTTAATGAAGTTTTTACTAATATAATAGATATAAAAGAAAACTATTTTCATCAATAACTAAACTGTATTTATTCATTGAAATAATTTAATAAAAATTTCAAATTTCAAATTTCTTGTATATTCCTTCATATGATTATGATCAAATAAAACTTTCCTAAAATTAACAATCGATTTAGAATGTCTATAGAAAAGAACTGGACATGACTATAAAAAAATAATTTTTTTGAAGTTTATGTGCAATAATATTAAGTGAAGTTTTATTTACATTATCAAGTTCAAATAAATCAAATCTTTTGTTTTTAAATAAAAGGAAAAATATTTATATAATGAATTAAATTAATCGTCTTTCCATAGCTGTCATCTTAACATATTATAATTGATTATTATCCTCCGGGTTTTTTTTCTGATTCTATTCCCATAGCATGAAAAATGAGAAAAGACATATCAATTTACTCTGTGTCATATATCTCTATATATATACAACAAAAACAAATATTACAATTATCATAATTATTAAAGTTTCATTTTGTTACTGTTCAATATTCATATTAGTTGTTATAAATTATTCTGCTTATGCCTTAACCAAATTTGCATATAATCATTGTCTTAATAGACTAACTTATGTTTTTTTTATTGATGATAATAATGTATGTAAACAAAGTAGTAGTTAGTTGACTTACTACACTCATTTGGAGTAATTCGGATCAGCAATTAAAAATTTCACTTCGTTTCTATTCGTTTCTCCTGAAAAATTGCACCAAATTCTCTAGAAATCTAAAACAAATTTCACGCATTTTTTATGTTGCTCCTGATTCACATCCTAGAGGGAGAGTACAAAAAAAATCGACTAGAAAATTGTATTACCAAAAATAATTAGAAGATGATAGAAATGAACATCTATGTTCAATACAAAATTTCATAATCATTCATAATAAGAATATTATTAATGAATTAAAAAAATGGACATGACCATCACCTACCAACACACATGATCCGGACTAACTTTTGCTAACAAAATTGCAATCATTTGAGTTTTATCTTCAACGATGCAGAATTTCAAAGACTTTCAGAAAATATAAAAATTCTTTTGAGATAGAACCACTCAATGTGGTTAGAGACAAAACATTAAGAAATTGCTGCCATAGGGCAACTGCACTTTTTGCTCGTATATTGGCATTATGAATTAGGAAAATGTCTTGTAGAAATTACTTAGTTAGCCAGTTTTGTAGAGCAAAAACATCTGTATCTTTTGCGATGTTTTCAGACTCAAAATGACGAGCCATTGCAGAGAAAAATTCAAAATACTAGAAGCACTCTAAAAACCACTTTTTTGACTAAGGGTCAAGCGAGGTGTTATTTTGTATACTTCGGTGTTTGTCACAGACAAGTCAGAAGGAACCGATATTTTGGATTTAGAGGTTTCTAATTATGGCCTATGGTTCCAGAATATTAAATCAAAAATCTAAATTTTAGTGGCGACCACCTTGTTATAAAGTTGGTTGATCCTTTGGAGCACCCTCTATTAAATAGACATCATCAATGTTAAACTTATAATCGAGATATAGATAAAGATCATGTAAACTTTTTGTAAACATAAAAAGATTGTTCTTTGTATTGATTATTTATTTTCTTTTATTAACTTCATTATTTATTGATTACATTTATACTGCATACTACAGCACAGTATAGTCTATCTGTACATGTATACAATTATCATCTAATTTATTTACAAGAGAAAATAAACAGAAAATAACAGTGGATACAATATCAACAGTTCTCGACTTGATTTATTTTTAAAACAAGAGGAAAATAAGTAAAAAATGTTTTTCCAACGATTCTTGGCTTTTTACGGAAAATAATATTTTTTAAATTTGCACAGTTAGCACGAGCTGTATTATTTGTAAAATCTTCTGTTACATTTACCAAGTGTTCATAGTCAATCTCTAGTGTACTAAGGCGTGGTAAACTTGCCTTAACGAAAAATTGTTTCGAATAGTCGATATGAGACGAAATTAGATCGAGTATCATCAGATGAGAATATTTAATAATTGAAAACGTTTGTTCATATTCATCTAGTTCATTTGTCGGTTTCTGTTGGTTAACAGTACTTAACACAGTTAAAACTTCAAGTAATGGAAATGCTTGTGAGATTCGAACGAAGAAATCATATTCAAGTGAATGCATTGAATCACTCACATATACCTTAAGAACATTCATAAATATACCATCAGGAAATTTGTTAGTAATTACATACATACGTTCCATAGTAAAGGAAACCGAGTAAATATGACATCGACCTCTTTCAATTCCACGATAGTCAACATAGCAATCAACATTATATCCTTTTTCGATGAGTGCACGTCGAACATCATCAGATGTTGGCAAATATTCATTATTGATTATGACAATTTCGGTGATAATATCAAAATTCAATCTATGTAGATAGGGCATTTTACTAATAATATTATTATTCAGATGAGTACCATCAATAAACGAAGTTCGACCATGAACATAAAGAGATACTGTTAATTTCTCTAATTGTGACATTTATTGAAGGAGTGGAATAATTTGATTATCATATTCCAATGTTACAGAAAATGATGTCAATGAGAAACATTTTAAATTCGACAGTTTTCTATAAAAATTAATATAAATAAGTATTATTTATTCAAAATTAGATCTAACAAGACAGTTATCTTCATTCTATTTAAAACCTTTTCTTTTATCCATCAATTATCAAATGGAAATTTTATCAAGTATATTAACTCATAGTATTTTGAAATTAAGTTCATTTCTCGATATTTAATTACTTAGTTTTATCAAAAATCGATATAAAAGGAGTCTTTTGATATGATTTAAAATATATTACCTTATTGTTGATAATCTTTGATGTATTATGAATGTATTCAACATGAACAACTAATGTATGTAATTGACTAAGATGGCCATTGAGTAACCAAAGACAATCATTAAACGTCTTCACCTTAAGATTTAAATAAACAATAATTGATGAATAACATTCAGACGGCAAACCATCAAGTTCTAGTATATATACAGTATATAATTGTTTATTAAATCAAACTAGAAATGAGTTAGATATGTAAACTTCATACAAATTTGGACAAAAATAGATGAGCACATACACCATCTATATCAATATCCACTAGTACCATTAATCATTACAACAAGATTTCAGATCTGATGTTGAAATATGGAAACAAATGATGAATTGGCTAAACATATAAATTGATATATTTAATTATATTTAGTTGTAAATGATGAGATCCAATAACTTACTACAGAAAATACGATCAGCTATTTCAACTTTATGATGAATAAGAGTAAGTTTATGAAGTTTAGGATAATTTCCAATAGAAAGAACACTAATCATTGACCAAGGATCAAGAGTAAGACATTGAACATTGTGTTGAATTTGAGGTAATATATAAAAACAGAGTCGATCGAACATTGATTTAATTTTTGAGTAATCATCTTCATATGATGATATTGTTGTAAGATCAAGAGGTTGTGTAAAGTCAATACTTCGAGCCAATCTATCAAATTTTTGATTGACTCCTTTCAGTGAATATAATACATCAACATTATCGAGTTTGTTCAAAATGGTAAGCAACATCTCGTTACATAGGTCAAGAATGTTAACAGTTGAATTCATATTTGATTGTATGTGATAAAACACTCCAACGATATCTATGTATCTATGACCCCAATCACACTGATTAATTCCAAGTGAATTAAAACAGAATTAACGAATATTTCATCTCAAAAAGGTAAATTAAGTCGGAATAGACCAATCACTTTGCTTTATTTGTTTTTTTTATTTTTTTCAGTGTGATTCAGACCTATCTATATATGTATATAATTATTTTCTACTTTGTCCGATGTCGTCAGTAATGCTAATGTTACATAGTCAATGATGAATATTGTGACCTATCATGACAGTCAAATTTGCTCGTAGATGAATGTATCGGTCATTAAATTACCCATCAGAAGTAAGGCAATTTCATCATATCGCCATGTTAGCTTGTTAAAATAAAGATATTATAAAAGTCTACTAATTTTCGTGTATTTTAACCAAGTATTATATTAAATATAAACTATCAAAACTGATATTTAGTTGAAAATGAAAATCTTTTTTTTTGACATTTTTTATGTTCTTATATGAGAATAGAATAGGTTAGTTGATTCAAAAATAAACTATACTATTAATAGAATATCACGTCCAAAGACATTAATGGGTGAGTTCGAAATTTGCTAGAAGAATATTTAAAATGATTAGCAACTGGATGAAATTTTAAATGAATAAGGATTATTTCACTTAAGCATCTATTTTTCGTCAAATCATATTTGTGAATAATTCGTAGCATTGTGAGATATTTTTGACAGTCAAAAAGATGTGTAAATAGTTCAATATGTTATATTCTTTGAAAAAATTTCTCGAAATATCTTCGAATAAAAAACGAAACAATTCGAAAATAAAATTCAATAGAGAAATGTAGATAGTGAAATATATTTCATGTTTTTCTTTTAAGCAATCATGCAGTTATGGTTGTAATCTGCTACTAGTCCATTTATAGAGTATCATTCGAAATTAGTAGAAATCATATAGAAAGAAAAATATTCTTTTGAAAATTCTTAGTATGCATATTATTAACATGAATTTTTGGCAGTTTTCTTTCATTATGTAATATAGATGTCATTCAAAATAAAATGAATGAATTTCGTTACTAAATCAATGAATCGATATATTAAAGTCGATTGAATTCAAATAAATATTATTAATTCGAGTTTATATGATCACTATCAGTTATTATTAGTTATTAGAATCTATAGTATAAAAGTTTATTGTTTTTCTTTAAACTTATCATTAATATTATAATTTCAATTTAATATTATAAATAAGGAAACAAGTTTAAAATTGTTCGAATTTTATTCTATTAAAATAAACAGAATTGAAACAGTTTACTTTGAGTCATCAATTGATTCTTATCAGTTGTGAATACATTCATCCTCTTCTTTTAGTTAGCTTCATATTTACGCGAACTTCGTTTGCTAATAAGAAAAAAATAATTCCGTTATTATTGTTCTATTAAATATGACATCTATTGGACATAGGATATCTTAGGTCAGGATTCGAGTATATGCTAAAAATATTCGCCACAAACCTGGCTTCAAGTAGAAATCGACCAGCTCTATCGACTCCGCTAATTACTTTTTTCAAAGACCTCTACCGTTCCTGAGAAAACTCCAATCTACTGCAAAAAAAATGCTAAAAAAACCTGTTCATTTCTGAAAAACCCGTCACCATTCGCTATTGAGTGGCGCCAAGAAAAACAAATCATACCTACCAATAGATCTCGATATACTCTATCGACTGTATACCCTATTGTTTCAATTCGACTCAATCACTAATTAAGAAGTCGCTAATCAGTTCTTTGATCTTGGCCACTGTTGCGATTCGCATATCCATCGACTCCAACAAAGCTAATGACACCATTCGATAGATCTCCACGAGCTCTATCGATTTCATACCTCATTTGATCAATTTGAGCAAGTCATTATTGAGAAAACTGCTAATTACTATAATCGCTGCAATCTTCATATATGCGCATATGACAATTTCGGAAAAACTTTTTAGCAGTCTTTCATGAGTCGAATCCAACACAACCAATGACGGATCCCGATAGATCTCATCAAAAGCTATCGATCGCATATCTTATTCGACCAGATCCAATATATGCTTAATTAGAAAATCGCTAATCAGTGCTTTCTTCCTTTATATAGGGGACGGATTTTAGAAAAATCTCTCCAAGTACTATCATTAGCCGGCTCCAAATATATCTCATTAAGAGCAATCGATTGTATACCTTATTCGATCAGATTGATTGAGTCATTAATTAGAAAATGGCTAATTAGCCCTTTGTTCCTATATATAGAGAGTGTCCAGAAAGTCATTAAAGTTAGAATAATTTGAATATCTTCATTACGGCTCGACCAATGGAGCTCATTCTTGTACCACGGATAGAGGCATATTAACACTCCAAATCCATACGGACAAGTTTAGTGAGAACCTTTGTTAAGTATATTGTTTTTTTTTCCTATTTGTGAAAGAGTAAAATATTCTTCTTGAGATCAATAGTGATACTTAACAAAGATTCTCACTAACCTTATCCGTAAGGATTTGGAGTGTGAACATGCCTCTATCCTTGATAAAAACATGAGCTCCTTTGGTCGAGCTGAAATGGAGATATTCATATTTTCCTAACTTTAATGACTTTCCGGACACCCTATATATTGTCGTATCTTGTATAATACGAATAATCTTATATAGAAGACCACTGTAAATTGCATGGCATAAAAGCAGACTAGATAATCATGACTATGTATCGTTGCGACAAAAGCTGACCGCAGTAGAAGACTATCCTTTAGAATTCGACTTCTTGGACAACATGGAAGAGCAAGTAGGCTTCTGTTATATATTGTGTCTTTCCTGTTTGTTCATAGTATTTTGTCTGTTTACATTTTACACAGTGAAATATGCTTCGCTATATGGAATATTTGTTAGTCAATCTTTTTTTATTAAATACATAGTAGGGGGATACAAACGAGAATGAAGAAAACCATAAAAAATTTATTGAATTATATCATAATCATGCTCCATCACCGCATTTCTTTTTCTTTGAGAAGAAGGATACACGGTCAACAAGCCATTCAAAACATCAGGATTATACTGTGGTTGACAAAACAAAAATAATGATAGGAAAAAATCAGTACCGATTTCAGGAAAAAAAATAATAAAACTCTTGCACCACATAGCACGTATTATTTTCAAATATTTTGATGTGTCCACTGTTCACTTAAATCCCATAATCGTTTGGCTTTCTCCACATTGTACGATTCTTCGCTTGAACGTGTTTCTTTCATATCAGACATAAATACTCCAGTTTTACCATTAAGAGTGTCAGATATTGCAGCAAATACTTCGCATTCACTACCAAAATCTTCAGTTCTAAATAATGAACGAAATTTAATAAATGTATTGATTTATGGATTGATACTGACCGTGCAAATGGAAATAGAGACAATATATAATACATAAAATATCTCTGAAAAATGTTTACATCTCTATGTAGACCTGTAGTTGGAACGAAACCCTCAAAAAATAAAAAAAACATTCATCATTTAGTTAAGAAATGAGAAGCATAACATTATTATATATACTGGACAAATAACAATAACATCAATTCCTGTATTTTCTAATCTTCGAGCTAATTCGTACGAAAACCAAACATTAGCCAGTTTTGAATTCTTGTAAGCAATCATTCCATCATATTCCATCTCATTATTAATCTCGTCTAAGTTCCATTTGAAATTTGGAGGATTTCCATGTCGTACATTTGGATTATGAAGTTTTGATGAAACAATGACTATTCTTGAAGGAGATGAACGTTTCAAATCGTCCAAAAGAAGATTTGTAAGTAAAACTAAACAAGAATCAAATGTTTGGATGTGATAGTCTCAAAATAATCTGAACATAAGATGTCTTTCATCGCAGTCAACATTTAGAAAATATATCCAGTACTATTGTCCTTCGTAGAGAAGAGTATTTACACGAGTCTAAGTGAAGCTAAAAGATTCAACTATGCGTCTCAGTATGGGTCTGAATGAAAGTTGATGTAAAATGTTCTTAAGTCCAAAACTAAATCATAATTTGTTTGCTTAGGCCAACACAAAATGATGGATTTTGTGTATGCCTACTACGTAGTATTATAATTTAGATCATACAATGTCCTAGATGGTTAACTGCAAAAGAATATTCAATTCCATCATTCGACTTCTTGAAAGTTTTGCAATGAACTCCAGCATTGTTTATCAATAAATTGAGCGGTAATTTTTTGTTGTGGAAGTCATCGACAAATCTATAGAATTTCATTAAATAAAATGAATATTATATAAGTAAGTGAGAAAAATTTCTAACCGTCTGATGGAATCGAATGAGCTGAGATCTAATTCCATAAATTCAAAATTTGATCTTCCTGATTCTTCTTTCATTTTTTGAAGTAATGACATTGTTTTAACTTCATCACGACATGCAAAAATAACATGAAAATCTTTCGCCACTAATTTCTTAGCTGTAAGAAATCCAAGACCTGAACTTGAACCAGTTACTATACACACTTTTGGTATTGACATCTGAAATTCATAAGTTTGTTATTATCATTGGTCTTTATTTTATCTCTAAGTTTCTATTCGCTTTTATAGTACATTAGCTTTTCATTTGCAGAAGCTAGGTCTAAAAAAGCATCATTCAATGAAAAAGTGTAAAATCTGGTAATCATTGGTTTTTTAATAGAATAGACTGTTCATTTTAATTGATGTCGTTGAACTTTAAGTTTTATTCATCCTATAATTTATTTCATTATTTGTAACAATTTTGACTTCAATGAAGTATATCATTCTATTGTAAAGGGTTGTCACATTAGAAAACTCGGCTCTTCTAATCTGACTTGAGTTTTAAAGACCTGAGAGGGATTTTGTATTATATGTCGAAAAAAAGCATGAACAAAGGGCAAAGTTACATTTTACCATCAGCTGTGAATAAAATAATCCTTTATTCTGGATAAATATATATCTTCATATAGGCATGCTAATAGTTTCCGCGAAAATATCGTTTTGTTAGCAGTATAACTGACGTTCTTTTCTAAAAACACGAGGATTTCCTATGGCAACATCTACATGATGAGGCTGATGGAGATCTTTTATCTCATTCATTTTAAGAAAGTGCAATAAAAAACATTCCCGTTTCAGATCAGAAATGCTGGAGCTGCTAGCCACAATTCGAGCACCTAAATCGCTTGTATTCTACCATTTTTCTGAGTATAGTTTTTTTTTTTTGAAGTGACTCACTATCTTTTTTGTGGTTCTTGTTGTGGAGACTTGATGTGTAATCTCTTCTTGTTCCTAGAAGTAGGATACGTTTTAGTGTGTGCATAAGGTGAAAGAGAAAAGATTTCTCTACAAAATGCATGGTTGAGTAATGTATTAGCATGAAAAATGACGGAACGGCTCGTATTTGTATGACTAGATTCTAAAATTTTCTTGGACTCTGTGAAGGGCTCTATTGTGTATTTTAACTATTATTATCTTTGTCCTATTCTTGTGAACTATTCAAAGCTCGACAACATATGCATTAAAGTTGCGTTGAGGATTTCATAGAATTTGTTGATCGCAAGCGATCTTGTAAAATTTTAAGATAGAAAGAGGAAATCGCCTGCAATCTTTATCATCGTTACATCCATACTGAGTTTGGATAGATTTTATTGTTTCACAACGGATAAACGTCCAATCTTAGGATAATCACAGACTATATACATCAAGAGAAATCGTTCAATATAGAATTTTGAAGCAAATCTGTATGATCTAACGTCCTAAGTACTTTTATTCAAACATTCATAGACATCGATGAGTCATGGATGAACGTTTTCGTGGCAACTTTAGATCTTTCACTATGTATGCACTGAGATCAATAATGTCGATTTTGAAGATATTGATATTGACTGATATTGAAATTTTTCTTTTTCTTATTATCCTCTGATATGTGATAGTAAACCTGTGTAGTGTCAGATCAAGGTGTCACTAGTCTGCAGTGACAACATTGTAATGTATGTAATGACTTTATATAATACTTTTTAAGTTTAATTTATTAATATTACCAGAGAATGAAAAGAAAATGAACAATATTCTGATATCGTTTGGGATCTTGAATCGATCGAGATCAAATTTTTTTGGAGATATATTGATATCAATGTATATCTATCCTTTACAATATCGTGTAAAAGACGTCAGCAATTTTCTTCTGACACAAATAGCATCTCTATAAGTGTTTCGGAATGTGCACGGAAGTCTTCATTTTAGACAAAATTGTACAAGTTGTTCGAAAAGTCCACCGGAAAAATAAATTCTTCAAATTCCTTTATTTGTCAAAACTAATTAACTATTGTTTTTTTTGTATGACAGGAATCACCACGAAGTTTTTATTGATACGGATGAACTTTGGAAATAATGTTGAGAAATACCATTTTTGACTGAAATACAGAAAATACTGCATATTTTTTTTGTTTTCTTGATCATTTCAATTTTTGCGATGTTGTGAGTTTTTAATTTTTCAGTGTCGTTTCATGGTTATTTTTGCCAGATATCCTCATAAAAAGAGATCTATTATTGAAGTTTACTGAATACATTTCAAAAACATGTTAATAAAATGGCACTGAAAAATTAAAAACTTAGAATATCACAAAGATTGAAATGATAAAAAAAAACAAAAATATGCAATTTTGTCAGTGAAAATTGAAAACGTATTTTCTATGTCTCAACATTGTTTGCAAAATTTATCCGTACCAATAAAACTTCACGATGATCCTATCATATAAAAAAACAATAGTTATGCTAAAGAGGGTTCTGATCTTGAACATGTAAGTAAGAGCGGCGTACAAAAAAAGAAATGAATGTATTGTCTTACTTTCATATTAATTAACACATGCGAGAAAAGCAAAACAAATAGATATAGTATTCGCTTCTTAATGCAACTAAATTGTCTAAGCCTCTAGCTAAGGTATACTGCGAAACTGAAAAACAAATCCTATTTTGATTGGTTTATTCTACCATTATCGAAACATGTAAGACTCTATGTCTGTAGAGAACTTGTAAAAAAATCGTCTACATTTTTCCATTTAGAAACTCTTAATATAATATATATTATGATTAACATTTTTATCGGATTATAAAATCAGAAAATGCTGAACACGTCAAACACTAGTGACACCTGTTTCTGTTGTTTGTTTCAACTTAAACTTCAATAGCTTAGCTTAATACATACATTATTAGATGCGGCTAGACTTTTAAGACAATTAACAGTATGTGCGCACTTACAGGGAATCTTCAGAGACTTTTTCTTTTTGATCGAACTCCCTAAAATTCGAGGACTACCAGAAGATTTAACATTTTTTCGGGTATTCTCGACTAGAGAATGGTGTTAAATTGGTTAAAGTGAGCAGATTGATATATACAAGAAACTAAATGTTTTATTTTGAATTTATTGTTTAGGTGTCATTGAAAGAAAAGGAAGTACATGTTGAATTTGTTAGTGATAAAACAATGGAAACAAGCTGTAATTAATCAAATTATTGATTTAGGATTTCAAGCTCAAATAAAATAAAATTGAGATTTTTATTAAACAGACTTTTAAAAATTTGATCATATTAACATTTCTTTTTTATCAATAAATCGTCTTAAACAAGTCTTATCGATATAGAGTTGCTTCTTAAAGTATCACACATTGATGACTAATATAAATGTTTAAAATCCGCAATATTTTCTTTGAATAATTCAATAATTGATTTATAATTCATATTAAATATTTATGATATGTTAATCTTTTATTTGATGAAATATGCGGGTTTTTTTTTGATAGTCTAAATGGTATAGATATAACATAGTTTCTTCTTTCATACTTGTTCACATTTAAATTTTTATTATGAGTTTTTATAGGATCAATGTTCATAGATCAAATTCATCTTTCAAATATTCTACAATCATATCAGATAACCTATTTGCCGATAACCAAAGGTGAAATGGTATTATGCAGCCGTACAATTGTGATGAAGCCCAATAGTACTTATCAATGCGAAGAGCAGGGATACCCCCTCCTGCTTTTGAAAATTTTGCATTAGCTTTCTCCCATTTTGGGGAAAGTTTCGAATTAGTTTTCTTCGATTCTGAAGACAGTTTCTGTAGAACTTTCTCCGATTTGGGAGGAAATTTCTGGTGAACTTTCTCTCATTTTAGAGACAATTACTAATTAGTTTTCTTGAATTTTTAATGGCAGTTTCTGATGTGTTTCCTTTCATTTTGAGAAAAGTTCGCCTGTATAGTCCTCTGATTTATAGAGATTTCGACTATATCCTTCTCTTATCTTGAGTAAACTTCAGAGTTCCTTTTTCTCCAAGTTATCAGAGTTTGTAGAATATTTCTTTTTTTTTAATTTCGAAAGATTTTGGCTATATCTTTCTTCGATTTTGTGAAGATCTGATATGATGGGACTATTTCATCTATGCAATACGACTGAAGTTATCAAAAAACTTGATTACGATCTGCGACAAGCCGAGATGCTTTTAAAATATCTAGAGTTTTTCTGGCAATGCAGGTCAGAATCATTCATTCAATTTTCTCAAGTAACTGCATGAGCTTTATCGGTCTTGTCGATAATAAATGAACTCAAAAAGATTTTAAGAATCTGGTCAAAAAAGGAGAACTGATCCTATGACATATGCAACGACTAAAACTTCGAAATATAATTAAAATCTCTGTCGCCTTCGAAGGCAACATAAGTTTGCCTATTTTTTGAAAACTTAGTATCAACTCGAGAGTTTCTAATGAAATTCAATAGTCATCGCATTACTTAACAGTTGTCGCGAGCGTGGCCGCCTTCGGCGGTGAACAAGATTGAGAAAGTTTCTGCTAGAAAAAGCTTTCTTCTCCTCAAGAATTTTTTAGGCGCCTACACAAATGTTTTCTACACAGTGAATGTTTTGAGTTCTCTATAGATTTATGAACTTGTCTCAAAGTTCAACTTTTATGTAAAAGAGAGTCGAAAGCGATAACATTTTTGTGCATGTCTAACTGGAAGAGAAAAAATTCACAATACGTCCACCCAATTTCAATCGCCTAGGAACGCTATTGCGTTGAGCCACGCTTTTCTCCCATTTTCGGAAATACCCCCTCCCCTCCTCCTTTTGCCTCTTCGCGCCGCTCCTGATGGAGACTATTTTGGACGGAACGAATGAACTCGAATGAAGATCAAGTTCTCGAAAGTTTCTTGTGTAAAAGCTTAGTTGATTCATTGTTTTTCTTTACATGCATCCAACAGTGTTATAGAATGAAGCGGAATCAAAGTGAGACAAGACGTGTCGGAAGTGACAAATTCTCTCTGATTTGAGCTCTGACGAGCATAACTTTTCAAATTTTTAAAAGTGAACTCGTCGAACGGGAAGAAGTCATACTCAGCATTAGGCAAACATTTTTCTTGACACTCAAAAAATGCTAATGTATGTATCAACTCATTTAGCAGCGCAGAGTTTGACTATTTTATGTCTCTTGCCGGATGGAAGTGCCAACAATCGCATTGCATGTGACGCATAACCTACACTTTTTTTTCTATGCAAATATTGGTTGGAAAATAAAAAGTCATTCGAGTGTCGAAAACTATTCTTTTTATCGAAGCAAAACAGTTTATTTCGCATAAAAATACTTAGAGAAGAAGAAGAAATTGTTGCTTTTCTCTCAAACATGAAAACAATTAGTCATTTTTGTTTTTTTTCATCTCACGAATTTCGTGTTCTTGTGCACAGTAAATAGACGCAAGTGAGTATTCGAAACAGTAGAATGAATATGCGTCTTTTTTTCACTATTGAAACGTTTTATTACTTCTTAATACTTTTCTATTGTACTGAAGAGTTCTAAGATATTCACAAATGTTGGAAATATTGACGTCTCGCATCCTGAACTTTCTCAATGGGATGTGTTGAATTTTTCTCACCATGTGATTCTAGTTGTATTTGGGATTTTCCAAGCATATAAGTTTATAACACAATAGGAATTTTCCAACTTGCTACTAAATATGTGTCACACGCAAAATAAAACTTTAGAAAAAATTAAACTTATGTAGAATTTGTTTTTAATTAGACGAAAAACTATGAAATAATTTTCTTTTATTTAAAAAAGAAATTTTAATTTTCGTTTGCACTAAGAAAACATAGCATGTAACTACACTATTCTAGAGTAAGCAATATGTCTTTTTTTCATGCTGATTTTTAATTATATGTAGATTTTGAACGATAAATTTGACACATGACTGATGAAATTCAAAAAGTTAAAATAGATATAGCTTTAAATCATGCAATCATATTTGTTGGTACAGATGTATCTATTTATACAACAAACGATGAAAAAGATGTTTTCTATTGGAAAGGATTATTAAAAGATGGACTTGAAGGATGTTACCAGTCGGGATGGATCAGTGACAAGGAATTTGAGGATTTCAATAACAAGTTCGACAGTGACACAGCAGATATTGATGATTATTTGCTTGCTATCAATCGAATTAAGTTTTGTTTCAAAATAGAAAGTGATGAATATCCAACATGGTTAAGAGAAATAGTAGGAAAATTATCAGCTAAAAAACCGGAACTTATTAAAGCTATAGGGGAATTAGGATGTCCAATTCTAACAACTAATTATGATTTACTTCTTGAAGATATACTTGAAAAAAAGCCATTAACTTGGAATAAATATTATATTAATAATATCGATGATTCGTTGGAGAATCTAAAAAATTATATTCTACATGTACATGAAGATTTCGAAGAATCAAATAGTATAATTCTCAGTAGTAACAATTATAATGAAATTCGTGAAAATGAATTTGAACAATCAAAATTGAGAACACTTCTGGAAACAAAAACTTTGTTATTCATTGGATATGGTGCTGGAATGTCTGATCCAAGTTTTTCAAATTTATTGAAATGGATATTTCATATAACAGATAAGAAATCATTATCAATTTATAAATTTATTAAATCAAATAAAAATAAAATGTTTAATCAACTATCAAATGTTTCATTTTTAGAGAATATTAAAGAAATTCAATTTGGTAATACTTTCGAAGATTTATTACAATTTATAAAAAATCTCAAATCATTTACACCACTAATACATAAAAGTTTATCATTGACAAACAAAAAAGAGAATATTCGCGAAAAATATTTAAATTATCTTATTAATGAATATGGACATGTATCAATATTTGGATTTTCTAATATTAACATTAATTTGCCTTTGCAAAGCGTTTATGTTGAATTAAAATTTGATCCAACACATCCATCGATTAAAGCAATGAAAATGCTCGAAATTAATGAAGAATTTAAACGTAAACTTTTATCTCCTGGTTTTTTTAATGAAAATGAAAGAAAACAACTAAATAGAGCTATCTTGGAAACAAATGCATCCAATCCTGATACTATCTATAAAGACTTCATGATTGATCAATGGTTAAATGTATTATTAAATAATAAAAATATATTTACTATAAATGAAGTAAATGCTATCAAAAATAAATTGAATCAATTAAAACAAAGTATTTTAGAAAAAAATAACCTTAAAGAAGCAAAACAGTATCAAATTCAACAAGTATATTATAAATTTAAGCATTTTATAATTTTAGGTAATCCTGGTTCAGGTAAAACTACTTTATCAAAATGGTTAATAATAAATATGGCTAAGCAATGCTTAGGTAAGAAAAATATGTTATTTGATAATAATTGTTCTATCAAAAATAAAATACCAATTCTTATTCCAATATGGAAATATATTGATCAATTAAAAGAAAATTCAAATAAACAAAAACAAACATTACTTCAATATATCTATGAAAATATTAATACACTTAATTCAACATATTTCAATGATGAAGAACGAAAAGAACTATCATCTTTCATCATAGAATCATTATTAGAAGGAAATATTTTAGTTATTTTTGAAGGATTAGATGAAGTTCCTATTCACATAGATCGATCGGATTTAATGAAAGAAATAAATACATTATTGGAACGAGGAATAGATTATGATATAAAATCTAATAAACTTATTTATTCAACTTATGAACAAAAAGAAATAAATAATACTAAAGATCCAACTATTGGAAATCGATTTATTGTAACAAGTCGTATTGAAGGAAATTATTTTGAAGAGATCAATTTTTATATTCCAAGATTAACTATTGAAGACATGACAAATGATGCTCTAAAATTATTTTGTAGTTCATATATGGAATGTATTCAAAATATTTCTATTAAAAATGGAAGACATATTAAAGAACATAAAATAGATCAATTATATAATAATATTACGAAAAATAAAGATATTTTTCAATTAGCAATCAATCCACAATTAGCTAGTATAATTGTTTCAGTTTATTATCAATATGGCGATAAATTGCCCGAGAAAAGAATTGATTTATATGAAAAAGCTATCGAACAGATAATAGAACGATTAGTTATTTGTAATATTAATTCTCCAACATATTATGTAAGTCAAGAGCTTGAATTAAATACTATTATATTATGGTCAATAATGCAAGATATAGCTGAATATCTACATAGTAAAGTTGAAGGACTATCAGAAAATATTTTAAAAAAAATAATAAGAAAATGTTTATTTGATTATCAAAAACAATCATCAAAAAATTCTAAACTAAATATTGATGATTTAATTTTAAATCTTATAGATATTTTTAAATATCAAGCAGGTTTATTCAATGAATTTGGTCATAATAGTTTTCGATTTATACATCGTACATTTCAAGAATATCTTGCAGCTAAAAGTATTATTTATTCTTATGGTATTAAACGATCTGAAGATATCATTTATGAAAATATTAAAAATAAAATTGGTAATCCTAATTGGAGAGTACCTCTCAGTATGACATTTGGATTATTAAGTAAATCAATTCAACATAATGAATTATTTAACAATATTATTATACGATTGTTAAAAGATGAACAAGATTCATCTAATACACTTCTAGTATCATTTGTTATTATTGATTCATTAAACGATATGTACTTTTCATTAAAAGAAATAGAATATGAATTGATTAAAAAATTAGCAGATATGTTATTGTTGGATTATGAAAATATATCTGGTTTTTCAAGATTAAAAGAACATCAAGAATTAATTGAATCATATTTTTTGAAATTGAAAAAAAAATATGATTGTACAATGACAGAATGGTTCATTGAAAAGATAAATAATGAAGAAAATATTGCTGCATGTGCCAATATTATATATCAACTTAAATGGTATAATTCAATATTTCATGAAATATTTCTAAAGAATTTACACAATGATTCTATCAATTGGAATTGGTCAATCGATTCAATTTTACGATTTTATTCAAATGATATTAAAAATAAAGCAATTTTAACTCAATTAAAATTTAAAAATGAAATCAATAAAAATCCCAAAATTATTAAATATATTATAAAGAATAATGATTGGTTACGTTTAATTGTTGCTCTTTAGGGAGGATATAAAAATTATTCTATTCAAAAAACTATTTCAGAATATTATGAAATAGCTCAATTTCTTGATTTAAGTGATAATCAAAGGGCACCATTTATATTTTATTATCAAGAAGTTTGGGATAGAAATGATCCAGCCTATAGTATGGCTGTACATCTTGATACAGTTGTGCCTACACATCATTGGAACGAAAAACCAATATTTAACAAAAATGAAATCTATAAAGAATCATTTTTGACAACCAAGATTTTAGAATTACTCAATGAAGAAAAATCTACAACAGATTTAAAAGAAGAATTACGAAAACAATTAAATATTCAAAATTTGAATACAAATGAAAAAATGGATACATACATCGCATTAATCATTTTAGGAGATTTTGATTTTATAAATATTCTTATAAAAGAAGAAGAAGAAATGTTTATAAAATATTTTACTAACAGAATAGAACAATTAATTTATATTTTAAAAGATCCAATCGCAAGATGGTCGTCATATATTTCAAAATATTTACTTGCAATTTATAATAGCATAAAAGTCAATCAATTGAAATTCAATCTTAATTTTTCTGATTATTGCAAAATATATTTATCTTTAATAGCTAATAGTGGAGGATTACCAATCGACACTAGCGAACTAGCTGAAGCTATGGATAACAGTGAAAATAAATATAGTCTATATGCAGAATATTTTGCCTTCAAATGTACTGGCTTTTTTGATAATTTCCGATATAATATTGCTGTTATATCAGATACGTTTAAGGATGCAGGAAAAATCGATCAAATTATGGAATCATTTTTAAAAATTAGTGATACAATTCAGATTTATAGACCGATTCGAGCATATCCATGGCCTACAGATATATTTACTTTTAAGTTAATTTATGAAGATGATATACCAATAGCATTTTTCAATTGTTTGGAGAACATCAATACAAACGTACCATATCTAGTGGATAGCGTTTCTGAGATCTTCTTTAGGGAAGGATATTTCAATAGAAATCCGGAATTGATTCCATTAGTTATATTATTACACTTTGGAATTATGTCGAAAGATTTAGATAGATTTAAGATCTACAAGAATTTACTACCTGAATTAGTTGATAAGTCAGATCTTAAAGATTTTCTATTTGAAAAAATTCAATCAATGTGTAATCCCTACTATAAATCGAGAGCATTATATCAATTAGCTGAATTTTATGATGAAAAAAGTTATGAACTATTAAATGAATCTTTTACATTAACAAAACATATTCAAGAGCCAACTTTAAAATTTCAAGTTTTGGAAAAGATCTTTAGTATTGTTCATTATAAAGAACTACAATATAAATTATTCATTCAACAAATAGTCAACGAATTAGTTTTAACATTTGATAATATTAAAGATCTTTATAATCAATTTATTGCATCTATAAGATTATCATTTTATGGATCAGGAGAATTTCGAAAAAAATATTTAACAAATGCTATAGAAATACTTACTAAAATGGATGAAGATGATAATAAACTTAAATTAATTATTAAATTAAAACCATTAATTAATATTTACGATGATCTTCAAATCAAGCTGAATGAAATTATAGAAACTCTCAAAAATAAAATACATAATTATTTTATCAATTCTTATTATGGAAGAATATTATTTACTGAAATATTACCTGTTCATATTTCAAATTTAAGTTTAGATATAAGTCAAAATTTAGAAAATGAAAATAGTAACAAGAAAATTGTAGATATTTCAGATTATACGGAGCTTCAAGCTTTATTTTTATTATTCGCACAATTGAATGACATAAAATTAGTAATTAATAAAACAGAGAATACAGATCAATTATGGATTAATCTTTTTAAAGATACTAATAATCAGTCAAATATTGAAGAGATATTAAACATTGGTTTACGTAATGAAATATTTTTGACACCACAAGTAGCAATTATTATCGATGAATTAATAGAAAAAAGAAAAGAAGATATTATTTCAATTATTTTTCCATATATTATAAAACCATCAAATGAAGTATTACCTATTGTTCATCGATGGTTTACTGATTACAATAATAATCAAATTAAAAAATTATCAGCTCTTTTACTTGCAGAAGCAAAACATATTTTTGAACCAGCAATTGATACAATTATTGATTTACTAAAAATCGATAATGATCAAATGAGATATAGAGCTCAACGAATTTTTCAACATCCAGAAAGAAATCCCAAAGAACCTAATAAGAGAATATCTGTAATAAGTGAAAAAACATTGATGAAAATTCTTAAAAATATACTGGTAAAAGAGCAACTTCCACGAGTTCGAGCTTATATTGCTAGCTTTTTCTATGATTTATTATGGGATGATCCGACAGTTTTTCGCAACTTATATAAAAATATAAATCAATCGGAAGATAGAAACTCTACCAGCAGAAGAAGAATGGACTTTTTCAGTAGGATTCATTTCATAAATGATCCTACTTGGAATTCAATAATGGGAACATTAGAATCATCGCTAGATCCATCGTATATAGAAGAACTACTCTACTCAACAATGTTATTAATGCAGTATAATCAAATTACACAAGAAAAATGGCTCGAATTTGCAAGAATACTATCAGTTACAGACACAAGTCAATTTAGAGAAAAATTATTCTTTGTATATACAGATGTAGAAAGAATAGAATTTATTATTGATAACATTTACGCATTAACAAATATTAATGATGAAACATTTTTTGAAATTCTTGAATCAAAAATAATTAACGAAATATCTATCAAAGTTGAAAATCTTGCACAAAATACTTATAATGAAATGAAACGTATAGGTAGATGTAACTTTTATGTCTCAAATAACTTAAATAAAACAATATTAAATATATTAAATAATATTTCAATAAACATTATTCTTATGGAAAATTTAATTAAATGGTTAATATTACAAATGACAAATTTTAAAGGTTTTAATGATACTATATTTTCTTTGACATTATGTGAAAATTTATTATCTTTAGTTTCTGCTTGTGTTCAAAAGGAAGATTATTTGTATCGAAAAATAATAAATTCTTCAAATTTTAATAAAATTCAAATAATTATACTTTTAGAAAAAATGCTTAATTATCATCCATATTTTCCAGCAAGAGGCAATGCTTTCATATTACTTTCAGCAATGGATCAATCTGATCACAAAGTAATCATAAACGCCATGAACACATTACTTGATGAAAATGTTGTGAAAGAATATTCTGTAATTGGAATTCCTTTAATACATTTATTACCAAATGCATTTATCGATGATTTACTAGAATCTTTAAAAAATGAAAGTGCTATTAAAGCTTATGAAATATTAAAAATTTTCATAGAATTAGCTTTAAATGAAAAAATAGATGCAGACAGTAAAACAAAGATAATAAAATATTTAGTAAACGAAATTGGCCAATTAAAATCAAAGAAGCCTATTAATTATTACTATACGGAAATAAAAATTCCCTTTACAACAACATTAGAAAATGAACTATATAAAGCATGGATTAAAATACAAGGGTTATCTGGTAAAACACAGTATTTTATTAATATTGAAGACTCAAAAGAATAATATTATTCTATTATCTATTATTTTTTAACAATTTTCTTTCTTCATATAAACATTGACTAGACTTCTTAAATGCCAATGTTATTTTTCATTGTAATATCAGTTAATCATAAAGATTGTATTGCAAATTTTAATATAACATAAGTGTATTCATTATATTTATTAATACATTCGAGACAATAGGATCCACCAGTAGATTCCACTATATTTTAACAAGAAACTTAATAGAAAAGCATTTTATTTCCCTTTTTTCTTAGGCAGGAAGTTACATATAATGTATTATCTGTTTTGCCTTTGCTATTGTTTAAATCATTTATTGCATAGCGTGATACTTTCGGTTAAAACAATCAAGACAAACAAATTTCTCACAATCATCAGAACCAGAAGGTTCTTATTTTCTTAACTGTCACATGACTTGCTTCTCTAGATTGTTGTTCCCTGCTTTTCTCATAGCAGCTAACACAGCTTTTTGTACTAAAAAAAGAAACCTTCTTTCCGTAGTCAATATTAGAATAAAGAAGAGGCGTTTTTCTTTTCATCTATAAGTTAATAAGTTTTTTTTTTTAAAACTTGACATGAGAAATGAAAGAGAATTTTTTATAAAATATACATTTCAGTTTAAGCGGTTCATTGCATGTTTGATTGAACATAATACATAAAAAAGAAAATCTTATTTCAAGAACTATCATCTATAATTCTACTATTATTACATTCATTTTCAAATAAATACTCAATAGATTCTATCTTTTCACACATTCTACTATAAAACAAATTCGAACTCAAATAAAACATTGTAAGTTTTGATTTATATGAAGATTGATGATAATAGAATTTTCTTTTTTCTCTTTAAGTTATTATATTTCATTTGATTGAATAATATGATTACTATACAATGTACATGTGGTGAGTAATTGAATGAAAGTTAAAATAATAAATAATTTTCTTTAGTTTTTCTTCTTATGATTACTTTAACATTCATTCAAACAATAAATTCATCCGGTATAATTGATAATGATAAAAATGAGAATAAATTTGATGAAATTGAACAAATTCCATCATTATTATCATTGGAAAAAAGACAAACAAATATACATGAATGTTTATCGAAAAATCATCTTTCAAATATATTAAATCGAAATCAACGAGCATCAATTTCTCGTCCATATTTTAATTATTGGCGACCAGTTCGTGATAATGTACGTTCTTCAACAAAAAATCCAATACCTTTTCCACCTCGTCTAGGTCAAGCTTTTTCACCTCGTCTAGGTAAACGAGCAAATCAAGATAGAGATCAATTAGAAAATCTTGATAAAAATCTTGTAAATCGATCAATTGATCTTGAAACATTTCTTATAACTCTTATGAGTTATTTACAAGAAAAAAAAATTGATATTATTTATGAAGATTCAACAAAAATTTGTTTTTCACAACCAATTGATATTACATTTATTCAACAAATTCTTGATAAATATAATACAAATCGACGTTATCAAGATGAACAAATTAAAGAAGATATACATGAAAGACAATCAATTGGAAAACATCCAGTACTATTTCGTTATCGTCTTGGTTAACTAGATTTTAATCTTGTAATGAAATAATATACAAAAAAAAGAAACTAAAATAAATTCATTGCACATACATACATATATATATATATGAATAATGATTTGTCAAAACAAGAGATAATAGCATAAAACAAAAGAGATTTATTAGTGTTAATCATAAAAACTATTTTGATTCCTACTTCTTTCATCCTTGGCTATTGACAAAGAAAACAGATGTTTTTCTATTCATTATATTTTCGATATTTATGATCAAGCAGAAGACTTAATTCAGTTGTATTTTGTTCATTAGCACAGTTTAAAAAGCTTAATGGTCGTATTCATTATTTTTGAGCGATATATTATATTGAGAAAACTCATTAAAATATGTCTGACTAGCTAATTTTCTATTTGAGGCCTATGATGTCTGTGGCGGTGATGTAAAATTTTCTTGGTTGTCTATTCTTGTAAATGTTGTTCATGTAATAAAAATGAAGACATTTTTGTTTTCTTTCTCTCTATCATTAGGTGAGCTATGTATTATAACATGCATGATTGTTTACCTTCATTACTTTGAAACCAGTGTAAATAGGACAAATTTTGACTCTTACATATGCAAGAAAGTAACCATTAATTTTTTTTTTCACATACAGAAATACTTTATAGAAACTTTCCTATGTAGTTGAAATCGCTTAAAAACCAATAATATTATGGTGATTGATTAGTTCTCTTAACTGTAAGGTAATATTGCGATGAGATCATCGAAAAGGACGATTTTTCCTAATTTTTCCTCGATTCTTATTGAAAATGACGATTTATGAATGACATTTCGTCGATTCTTAATTTGTACTCTACTGAAATGCTCACTGTCAGTCAGTCAATACGTACTATCTATAATACTATATTAAGAGAAACTTGTAGTGAAACATACTAAGCTCAAATTTAGAATGGATTTTTGAATAAGTATTACTTACTGTGTTGCTAGATTTTCGTTGACGATCTCGAACTTGGCATTGCATATTTTCTATAATAGTTTAATTTTTATTGGTTTACAGAGATTAGAAACGCACTTTCTTTTTTATTCATCTTTGAAGAAAAGGAAAACATACCTTATATGTAACATTGTATTGCACAGTTTTGAGTAGTTTCTGTAGTAAAACAAGATAATTCGTGTATGGAATTAGACAACAACTTGTCGGTCTATGTGTTGTATTCGCTGAAAGCAATCCACTTAATATATACTTCGTACAGATATCCAGGATATAACTAACTGGCTTGCTGTAGAAGTATTTTTGGAGCCATTCTATTTCGGAAATGATTACTTTAGTATCTGAAACTAGGAAAATGTAAAATAAAATGCTTTATCTAATCGTTCAACAATTTTTATTGCCATACAATTATGGACGATTGACGATTGATTGAAGACTTTTCAGGTTAAACCGCAATTAGTCCTTCAAACTGAGGTGATTTTCATAACAAGAGTATCTTTTGTGGGCACACCTAGACTTACACTCTCTGTGAGTGTAGGCATAGATGAAGTGGCTATCAATACGTACGCGCATATCCACACAATCACACCGAAATTTTTAAACCCTCGCACCTAATCCTAGAATTTGTTGTGTCCTTCAAACTCTCCCTGTACTTTGAATTCCTAGAGCTCCTTAAGGGTGTAGACGTGGCTGTTGGTGTGGTTGTGTATAAACAAAAAACTCAACTCAGAACCTGAACCTCGCTCTAGCAACCTATCCTCGCACTCGCATCCTAAAATCTATTTTTATGACCATTGATTCATCATTGTTTACATCACATACTTGTAATCGGTAAGATTACTTTTGATCGATTTGAACTGTACAGTAACCGGCTGATTGCAATTTTCGACTTAGCCTACTTTAAAATGACGAAAAAACAGCTGATTGAAATACAAAATTGAACCGTCAAAAAGTTGATCCGTTTAATATATAAATTAACTAAGTAGTTCTTTCGAGAAAAGTGAGTGTGAATAGATGCGGGACGTGGATCTTCTCTTTATTTGCATTCACATCCACAACTCTGGTTGAAAGAGACTCGACGACATATGCAACGGTTTGTTTTTATGTCGTGCGATACAACACAATTGTACGATTCATTCAGGAAGACATTCAACTTCTCGACGACATATTTCTCTTAATCAATATCAACTTTCGATCTAATTATTGTTTCAAATGGGATCATTAGCATAAAATTATAGTTAGATATGTGAGAAATGAATCTGAGCTTCAGTTTTACGATTTTTTTATCTTTATTGAATCCGACATTGAGCTATGTTGTAATACACGACCTAGACTCTGCTTTACCTCAGACTTTATCACACGATATTCACTTAAGTCTTCTTAATCCAACGAAAAGAAATCTTCGTTGAATCTAATTCTTTTCTTTACTTTGCCATTCGAGACACAAAAAACAAATCAATAAGCAGAAAATGATCGTTCGTCAACAATCTAATATTTGAACTTTCTTCTATATTGAATCGTCAGCACCATGATTTAAACGATTGATAACATTGAGATTAGGGATGCATCAATTCCATTTCTAGGCTTGGAATTGGCTAGCATTAGCATTGGTTATGGATAGAAAGTCATCGTTTTCTTAAGGAGAGGATATTTTGACCAAATAACGATTTTTTAAATAAAGTTTTACCAAAGGTTTTCAGGGGGAGGGGGGAGGAGAATCCAAATCTGTAATCGGTTTTTCAAAATTGAGTACTCGATTTTTACTAAAGAAAGAATTATGGTGAAAAGATAACGATTTCTTATAAAATCACCCGAACGGGAAATAGCAGAATTCGAGACTTCTAAAATAGAGACTTCGCTAGACTTCAAATCGAATCCTTGCTGTTTTCCCTCGAAAGAGAGTAAACTATGATTCTTTATTTTATTTCAAAGCTATCGATAAAATCAGCGTAGAAGATGTTAATTTTGGCTAGATTTAATCATGTAAAAGTGCTAGTTAGTACTTTGAACAATATAAACTTTATTAAAGAAGTATAATGCTTGCTAATTATCACTCTGAAAAGAGCGTATCTTGTAGAAAATACAGTGGAACTTCATTGAGTTTTTATATTGACAGCACATTGAATATTGCATTTGATAATGCCTATAATAATGCGGGTATCTTTCTTTGAAATAGTTATGAAAGTTTTATATCATAAGCAGCATTTTTCACTGGAAGTAATAATTTTCCATATTTGTCAATTGTTGATTATGTCAACAATGACAGTTATCAAGATGTTCAAATACTTAATAAAAAATGTTCCTGTCAATTATAGAAGACACAATGTGAGGATTTTGTTTAATACAACCTAATGTTGCAATAGTAAAGTTTTTCTTCATTTAATGTATTTAGTCATCAATATTTATTCATCATCTTATTTTCAAAGAATATGAAGTTTTATTATTTACCTTAGAACACTTTAGGTCTTCAACACATATATTATAAATCAACCTTTTTTTACTATTAAAAATTGCTAATAATATCCTTCCTTTATCTTTAATAAATTATTTCGTTATTACACATACAATCATTTATTTTTGTTTGAAGTAAAATAAAAATAAAAAAATCTGTGATCTCAATTACATTTTATTTTTGTTTTACATTAGATTGATACTTTGTTTAGAACTGTTGACATTATGCTACAAGTTTAAAAGTCAATAATTAAGTTTGCAGGAAAATTTTTAGAAATATGTTATATGTTTATTTTAAAGAATTTATTCATACAGAGAGACTCTGTTTGCTTCTGAAATTTTCTTTATAATTTTGATCAGTATAATAAAAAGCTTACTAGATAATGATTTGAAAACTAATATTATTATAATAAATATGAAAATATTGTAAGAATTTAATAATAATCATCACTAGGAAAAAATTCAAATGCAGATTAATCCTATTATAAATTCTTCTCAGTCCATATTTGAAAAGCTTTAAGAAAAAAAATTCCTTATTCATATCATAAATCTGGATTCTTATTTCCTATGATTTCTTTCTTGTCATAATATACTCATATATCAAGTTTGTTGATAAAAGCTAAAAATTAGTTTTTGAAAGTGATATATTGCCTTTTTTTATAATATGACAGAACTACTTTAAACTTCGAAGTTCTTCTGTTTTCAAATATTGATAAAAATTTAAAACGATAAGAGATTTCATTCTTTAAATTATGATATTCTTTTTGAAAGAATGACAGTTACGAATGTTTTCACAGTGTTGCTAAATAGTATTTATAAATAAAAAACAAATTTAAATGAAAAGTATTGAGAGTATTTATTCGTCAATATTTACTCAAAATAAATGAGTATTTGATACATTTCATTTTTCTGTTTTTATATTTCATCTGTTACTTCAATCTCTCGCAAAAAAGAATCGTTCTGTCATATTTCTTGTCATTCTTGAACTTCTAAAGAAAAATAAAATAAAATTTAAAAAATAAACGAAAGTCAATTGCAGAAACAATATATTCCATAATGTACTTTGTTAAGTATTCATATAGTTACTTGTTAGATAAATTTATTTTCCTTTCAATAAAAAACTTTCAAAGTTTTTCTAATTTTCAATATATTTCATTTTTTGTACTAAAAAAAGAAATCTTCTTTCCGTAGTCAATATTAGAATAAAGAAGAGGCGTTTTTCTTTTCATCTATAAGTTAATAAGTTTTTTTTTTAAAACTTGACATAAGAAATGAAAGAGAATTTTTTATAAAATATACATTTCAGTTTAAGCGGTTTATTGCATGTTTGATTGAACATAATACATAAAAAAGAAAATCTTATTTCAAGAACTATCATCTATAATTCTACTATTATTACATTCATTTTCAAATAAATACTCAATAGATTCTATCTTTTCACACATTCTACTATAAAACAAATTCGAACTCAAATAAAACATTGTAAGTTTTGATTTATATGAAGATTGATGATAATAGAATTTTCTTTTTTCTCTTTAAGTTATTATATTTCATTTGATTGAATAATATGATTACTATACAATGTACATG